CAGATGGCTAGGCCTTCTTTCAAGGTGCCACTGGGAGTATTCCAGCCACCAATCTTGATTAGTGTATGAGTCGGAATCAACTCAACAGCATCAGGTTTGATTTTTTTTTGTTTGAGCCCTTAACTATTGTGCCACCAGGGCTCCTATTGTAGTAGTGTTGTTGTTGGGTGCCATCAAGTCCGTTCTGACTCATAGTGACCCTATAGGAGAGAGTAGAACTGCCCCATAGGGTTTCCAAGGCTGTAATCTTCACAGGAGCTGATCGCCAGGTGTTTTCTTCCATGGAGCCGCTGGTGAGTTCCAACCACAGACCTAGCAGTTATCAGCTGAGGAGAGCTTAACTGTTGTGCCACCAGGACTCCTAAAGGTTGAAAAATAAACGTTCATTCTAAGTAACAGTTTTGTGATATACATTCAGATAATCACATGACATCATCCCATTTTACACATTCAAATTTTCATATTCTTTCCATTCCTTTACGTGTTGTTGTTGTTGGGTGTTGTCAGGTTGATTCTGACTCATAGCGACCCTATAGGACAGAGTAGAACTGCCCCATAGGGATTTCTAGACAGTAATCTTTACAGGAGCAGATTACCAGGTCTTTTCTCCCATATAGCCACTGGTGGGTTCGAACCGCAGCCCTTTTGGTTAACAGCTGAGCACTTAACCACTGCACCTCTAGCCTATCAATTTCTAATTTCACTTCTCCTCCTCAAACTCCTTGCTTCCCTGAGTTAGGAGTTGTTGCATTACATCCCACTTTTACTGACACCAATTTGTGTATCAGATCAGCCCAGGGAAATCTCAGCTTCCACTCTCTGGTCAGTTCAGACCCCAGCTGCTTCCACACAGCCCTTTCTCTCACCCGGGGCTAGGTCAGCGTGTGCTGGCCTCAAGTTAGGATGTTTCTATATGACTCCCCTGGCTCCAGAATAGCCACAAGTTCCTCTAGTTGCCGTACCTTGCACTTCCCTTTCCTCCTGCCATCTCAGAGTGCCCCATCTGGGGTTTGTCAAGTGCCCACTGTGGACCAGACCAGGTCTGCTCTGAGCCTTTTACTTGGGTGAACCCTTTTGATGACCCCATGAGCATAGAAAAATGACTAGTCCCACTTAACAGCTGAGAACTGTGGCATCTAAGATACAACTCTTGGTCTCTACTCATCAGAGCAAAAGAGAAAGAAGAAAACCAAAGTCTCAGAGAAGAAGCTAGCTGACAGGGCTAATAGCCTACACAAGCCATGGCCTCATCCACCCTGAGACCAGAAGAACTACATGGTGCCCAGCTACCTCGACCGACTGTTCTGTTAAGGGCCACAGTAGATGGACCTTGCTAGATGGGGAGAAAAAAGCAAAACAGAACTCAATTTCTTAAAGTCCACACTTACTGGACCAGTTGAGACTGGAGGACTCCCTGAGACTATCACCCTGAGATATTCTTTAAATCTTGAACTGAAACTATCCCCTGTGGTCACCTTTTAGCAAAATAACAGCCTGACACACAAAAGTATGTTACC